TTAACTTCTCCCATTCCTATATTCTCCATCTTCACTATAACCTTCCTGGTATAATTGTCTTTTCCTCAAGTGTTGGTGTTCATTCAGTCCCCTCTTCATTCTGCTCAAACACTTCCAGGTAATCTCGTCCAATTCTATCACTGTATATTAAGCTCAAAACAAATTCAACTGCTCTTACTCTGAGTTCAGGGCACATAAATGTTGAATATATATTACTCCAATTCTATGTATATATAAAACTAAACTTTTTTTTTTTTTTCCAAACCAGTTCTCTCCTGTCTTCCATTTCAGTGAATTAACACGTAACTTACTGTTAGGTTATATGGATCCTGTTCTAACATCTCTATTTTTTTCTTTTCCATCTCTAATACAACTGTCCTCTTTTCTTCATTTTCACAGTAATATTTACTGAGCTCTTTCTCTGTACTGTAGTCCCTCCTTATCCATGGTTTCACTTTTGCTCAGTCAGCTGTGGCCCATAAGGAGATGATCCTCCTGACTTATCGTCAGAAGGTCATAGTAGCCTAATGCTACATCATAATGCCTACATCATTCACCTCACTCCATCTTATCACATAAGCACTTTTAGCACCTCAGTCATCACAAGAAGGTTGAGTACAATACAAAAAGATACTCTGAAAGAGACCACATTCACATAATTTTTATTAAAGAATATTGTCACAAAACATTGTTTTATTGTTACTGTTAATCTGTTACTATGCCTGATTTATAAATCAAACTTTATCATAGGTATGTATGTATAGGAAAAAACATTAGTATACATGGGGTTTAGTATTACTGTGTTTTCAGGTATCAACTGGAGGGGTCTTGGAACATAACTCCTGCAGATTAGTGGGGAGGACTACTGTATTGTCATTTTATCCATTCATTTCAGTTGCCTGGAAGAATCATTACTAATATTTCGTATAATCTCAAATTTCTTCAGAGGTTTCCCTTCACCTAGATGATTAAATAATAAACTTCATGTGTGTGTCTTTGTGCCCTGTCCCCTAAATAGCAGAATAGCTTTTTTTCTTTTTCTAAACCTTACCTTCTTAGTGATTTTCAGCCCTGTTTCCTGAATAGTGTTCTTTGTGAAAATTTTTTCCTCTTAGTGACTTCCAGCCTTATAAGCTACTTGGGACTGCTAAAACATGGGTCAGCAAACTTTGTATTAAGCATCAGAAAATAAAACTTTAGGCTTTGTGAGCCATAGGGCCTCTGTTGGAATTACTTGATTCTGTATTGTACACAAAAGCAGCCATAGATAATATATATGGTGTGTCGCTCTCTTCCAGTAAAAAACTATTTGCAAATACAGGTGGTGAGTAGAACCCTGATCTAGCACACTTCATAATACTACTGAGCTTTGTCCGTGGTGATACTTCTACCTAGAAAAGATGCCTTCTTTAAGCTCAGAGAAGCAGAACCTATCTATTATTGTATCTTTACCCCCTAAGTATTTTTAATCCACCTGGAAATAATGACTTGCAGGTATTTGGACTTCACTAAAGAATCATTTTGATAGGGAGCTATGTAGAAAGTCTGCTTTAGAAAACAATGTTAAATTTTCTTCATTTTGGTAAGTGATGTAACTAAGTATTTACAAGTTTTTGATACAGTAAAATTTCAATTTTAGATGGTGGTGATCTATAAATTGTGAATTTATAGAATTTTAACAAAATTACCTATTTTGGTAGGTATATGTTAAGAGCAGAAACTTATGATAGGAGGTTTTGCCCTGTGGCCATTTCTCAATAACTATTTGCACAATTGTATGTTTGATCCCTCCTTAAAAAAAGAACTGGGAAGTTAAAGACTTGGATGTGTATGTATAAGAAAAGGTGGGATTAAAAGTAAAAGCTACTGTTAGGATTTTTTATAGTTGAATGTGCTTCAATCATTTGTTCAGCTGCTTCAGTAGTAATTAAAATTACGCAAACTCATTTCCTATTTAGAATCTGAATCAAGACTTTTGTGACATGAAAGAGGGCAAAATATAGTTTACTCCTTTCCTTTGTTTTATATCACTAGCTTCCTGTTGATTTTAGGATTGTTGAAGCATGGCATATAATGATGCAAACAATATTTGATTGATTTTCCCCTTCTTTCTGATTTTATCTTTGGATTTCATGGAAACTTTTATATTCTAATCAAGGAAATAAGTTGCTGGTAGTTACAGAAGTAATTAATATTAAATAACCAGAAGGGGAATTGCATTCATTTCTCAGTTCACCACTTAAGATAGTGCTGACTTATTTCTTGGCTAGAAGTTAGGCTGGCCCATGGCTAATTTTTTAGCTAGGTCCTGCATCCCTTTTTCCCTCCTCAAAAGTCAATCAAATTTACTACTCCAGAGCTTATATTTGAGGGTAATAAAACTTCCTTGCAGAAATCATTTAAAATCCATAGTATGAGAATAAAACCTAAAGCTGAATGTTACAGTTTAACCTAAGGAAGTGTCTTTAGTTCATTAAAGAAATTGGTATTTGCGATTAGTTATTTTTGTCTTTATTCTAAAATTGTATGTTTGCTTTGCTTTTAAAATAATATGATTGCTACTGTGACTGCATATGTATAGCTGACCTCATCCCTCATCCCTCCAATAAAAAGGGCAGGGGCAGGTTGATGTTTCAGGTAGGGAGGAGAAAAGGAAATGTTATAGCGTAGGTTGGTTAAAATGAAAAATTTTATTATTTTTTGCCTTAACATACAGCTAAATATACATTTATATTTGCATTAAGCACACTTAATGACCATTCAGTAATTGATGCATACAGAACTCCTCAAGAATTTAGTAGGTGCAAGATATGGGATTTCTGTACTCCACTAAAAGAAAGATAGTATTGGTTGTGTTGGATTATTTCTTAGTAGTCAGACCAGCCAAGGAATTCTTGGATTTCTTAAAATAAGCCATTCTGAGACAAATTTGTAAGATAATATCTCTAATGAATATTTCAGCTATTTCTGATTGTCTGAAACTAGGAATTAGAAGTTATATTGGAGTGTTAGATAGGAGTGCTATGACTAGAATTCCCTTCCTATATCATCTTTTTTTCAGATTAAATTGGTTACAAGTCTCTCCCCTTCTTAGACCTCCTAGGAGAAGGGAACTCCCAGTCTTTGGATGGGCATCTACCTATTTAAAGACCATAGCATAGCATCCAACTAAACTTGGACCAAGTGTCAGCCAGTGCATAACAGTCGTGGACTTGGTTCCAGACCACCCTAGTAAAGTGACTATCACAAATAAGCGAGTCAATGAATTTTTTTGTTTTCCCTCTGCATATGAAAGTTATACTGTAGCCTATAAAGTGTGTAATAGCATTGTCTGAAAAAAAGTATATACCGTAATTTGAAAACTACATAATTACTAAAAAATATTAACCATCATTGAGCTTTCAGTGAGTCCTAATCACTGATCACAGATCACCATAATAAATACTATAATAATGATAAGGTTTGCGATATTGCAACAATTACCAAAATGTGACACAGGGACATCAAGCAAGGGCTATTATTGGAAAATGACAGTGATAGACTTGCTCAACACAGAGTTGCCACAAACCTTCAATTTGTTTAAAAAGAAAGAAAAGCCGGGGGGTGGGGAATGGGTGGGGCAATATCTGAGAAGTGCAATAAAGCAAAACGCAATAGGAGGAGGTATGCCTATATTTCCCAGTTTTTGTTTAATCAGGGAATTCAGTGGGTTCTATCTGAATAATTACTTCAATCATTTTAAATAATTAACCTTACTGCTCCAAACATCCAATTCTGACAAATTTTTTTTAAATCTGTTTTTCAGAAGTGACTTTGATGTGGGCTGGGGGGAGGTAAGGAGGTTGGCAAAGAAAATGTGATTCTACCATTCCTTACCCCCATCCATACACAGAAAACAAAAGTAATAATTTCAGATCTGTGTCCTTATTTTAGCCTTGGGGAGGGATTATGTTTTACATTAACTGTAATCCATGTCCAGATACATCCTATTTTAATAAGCTCCACTTTTATTATTGGTTGCTGATAAATTTTACATAAGTACAGCTACACAGAATCCAGTTACAGAATAAAATCACCTTTGTCTTTTCAAAATGGTAGAAGTATGGCAGAGGGAAGAGCACTTACTCTCAATATTATAGTTCATTCCTGTTACTAAGTAATTTAATTTAATCTAGTAGAGTATTTCCTTTCAAGGTTCACTTCTTGGGTTCTTGTGGTATAATGGTCATCTACTGCCTTTACTCATCAAGACTTCAAATAACCTCTCTGTGAAGCTTTCTCTTATGCTTCTAGGTAGTTTTTCTTACCTCGTCTGTCACTACAGTTTGGTCATATACATATTTTCTGTATCCTAAGACACCAGCATGAGCACATTGTAGATTTATCACATTTTAATAGAATTATACCAGATAAGAATTGTTTGTTACTAGTAAAATGGGTTTTGTATGGATTGGCACTTTGAACTTCAATGGCTTAAAATAGAGTAGGTGTTGTTTGAAAAACAGAAATACCTGCCTATACCAGAGTTAAGTACTATTTTAGCAAGGTATTTTAAGGATCAGACTTAGTTAATCAAATTTGATGAATGCTTCTCATTAGAAGACTTGGCCACTGCAGTGGAGGGTGATGGGTTGCCAAAAAATACTTCGTGTTTTTTTATAACAGTGAGCTATTATGAGAAATAAATCATTTTCTCTATAGCATGCTTATCCTATATCTTTGCTATTTGTATAGACAGAATCGCCCATGGCAATTTGATTTCAGATAATAATTGACTTTATGCAGTCTACAGTTAGCAGCAACCTGAATAACAGTCTTAGGAATTATAGGAAAAAATACGTATTTTGTCTGAGCATTTAGAACTGTGCTATTTCAACCCTTTCTCCAGCTCAGCAGTAAGCAGTCTAGGTTTTTTAGATTTAAAGTGTAAAGTATATCTTTAAACTTTGCTGTACAAAACTTGGTGTATAAAGTGATCCTTCTCATTTTTTTCTTTGCAGAAATGGAATCTGTTTGGAATTTGCAGAAGCAAGGTAAGAATGGTTAGGTTACCTGAAATGTTAGTGCTAATCACTAATTGCAGTACATCATTTTTTGAGTGGGAGTAATATGAATAGTGGCCTACCAAATAAATAGACTTTGTATTTTGTGTTATTTAATAACTGCAGTCAAAAAACACTAGTTATACCAGACTGCTAAGGACAGGTTAACACTGTAAGTGAAAAGAATATATGAAATAACTGCCTGCTGGGTGAAGAACCTGCGTACCCCTCCCTTGCCACCCTCCATTGGTAATTAAAACAGAATATAAATACTTTTAATCTAGGAAACCAGCATGAGTAAGTGTTTCCTCTTATGGCAATCTTCCTCTGTATTTGTGTGGTAGACAAGGGATAGCCTAAGAACTAAAATTCATACTTCAGGAAGATACCAGCTGTTTTAGAAACCTATTTGGACTCTATATTGTCTTAATATTATAAAAATATAGTGGTTGTGGAATATATGAAATAAAGTGAGTTTAGGTTTGTAGAACTAGTTGCTGTAATAGATTTGGGCTTTTAGAAGCCTGTAATTGAATTGTATCCCATTTCCCATCCACTTCGCTTGTTAATATAAGTGAATTTCAGAAGAATGTGAAATTCCTAGAATTTCAGAACTTGAAGGGTGTTAGAAATTCTCTTCTGTCTTCATATTTGACAAATTAGGAAACTGAGGCCCAGAGAGGTTACTATAAGATCTAGAAAGTGGCAGGACTAGAGTATAGGTTTCCCTGATTTCCCAATACTCCTTCCATCTCTCTCGTTCTTAGGCCAGATCTTTCTTATCTAACACAGCTGTCACCTGAAGATAACTAAGAAGCTCTTAAACTATTTTGAGTTGCATTCTGTGTACCTTACTCAAATACAAATGAAAAAAGGTAGACTAGAAAATATACCCTGCAAAAATAGACCTACCTCTTTTTACTCTTAACAGTTAAAATGACTGTTAACTATTAAGCATGGTATTGTCTTCATGGCAAGTTGCTAGTGGATGGCCTTTGAAGCCCTAGAAGAGATAATAGTATTATCCCTGGACTAAATCAGATTGGCTCTTAGGCTGTGCTGAGCTTGAGTTCTTGAATATTATTTTTAAGCCTTCATACATTTCCATTAGGTGACAAATTTTATTGGTTACTTACTTTTCATTAAAGCATGTATGCTTTCAAAAGTTCTTGTGATAAGTAGAAATAGTATGTACTAAAATCACTGCCTCTCTAGATGAGGAAAACAAACAGCTAAATAATAGGAATTTAGAATAACACTGGAGTCCTTGCCCAGACAAATTCTGTTTCATGCTTTGAACCAGGAGATCCACAGGCTTTTACTGTTGCTGAGAATAAAGGCTGGTGTTGCTATGGGAAATTAAGAAGAAATAAGTCATGATTAGGACTGCATTGGTAGTTTTGACAAACTAACTTAACCTGAAGTTTTTAGTATTGGGTATTACTTGAATAATTCCTTACTAGATAGTCCATACTGATTAAAATAAATTTTAACTTTTTTTTGTTGAGAAGAACAAAAATAAATCGGACTGTTGTTTATGTTAATGTCGAATGATTGACAAAGCTTTTTTGTTTGCTCTTTTCAAATGTATTTAAAATCAAGAGAAACGCTTAAAGAAAACTCTCAACCCTCTCTAATCTGTAGGAGTTGAGGCTTTTACTGGCTGGAGGACCCTGTTGCTAGAATCTTTTGGGTTGAGAAAAAAGTGGATCATACATGTGTTAATACAAAGAGGAAATAAATGATCTTTAAATTGTATTTTCTTAAGAAAGGGAGCAGTTTAATGATGGGTATTTGAGATTTGTTATTGGAACATGGGTTTTCTGGGATTCCAGGCCTTATTTTTAATTTATGTTTTTAACCTTTCCTCCAGATCCCAAAAGGATAATCACTTACAATGAAGCCATGGATAGTCCAGATCAATGAAGAACCAGACTGCCTATTTGTAACTTTTCTGCAGCATTAGAGCCACCATTCATGGGGGACACAAGGCTTTTATGCTCCTAGATCTTCAACGCAGCAAAGGAACCATAAGTAGAATCACAGGATAATATATACAAATATATATATATATACATATATATATATAGTTATTTAAAAAAAGGCAACTGAAAGTAATTAGACTTCTTAAGGAATCAAATTTATTTCAAGAGACTACACATGGTTATTTAATCTCCGGTACCGAATCGTTTTTTTATTTTTTTTTTCTTCTTTTTTCTCTCGTCGTGTTTTTAAGTGTGAATGCAAGTGATTAATGAATACAGACTTATTAACAAGCGTGGTTCTAAAGTTCCTGCTGTCATCAACTTGGGCAACAAATGACCCACTGGAAAGGCAGATCCACTTAAGAGATCTCTGTATCTTGTTCTGTGACTAAAGTGATACACTAATCACAGGGAACCCAGAATGATTCAACATTTTCCCCCATTCCTCCCTTGATCTTTAGTTGTGTTTTGAGCCCTGCGAGAATGCTGGATAAATGCTTTGAAGTTTGCAGGGGTATATTTTTTTTTTAGCGATTATGATTTGCATGTCTTGCCAGGAGTTAAGCAGCCTCTGTGGGGTGTTGGGGAAATATTTTCTTCTTTTATTTTTTTGTGGGTTTGGGAATAGGGGAGGGCATTGAAGTTCTACAATTCTGGAATAGTTGGTGATGTAGTTCACTTTGCTTCAGTTACATATTGGACTTTAACAAGTCAAGAATCCATGAGTGTCATTTTAAAAAGTTACAGAACAAACAATTGGCTTTAGGTATTTAATATGGAAAAGTACTCCTGTGCCCATATTTTAATGTAATCGTATAAGTGGGAGCAAAAATATATTCTGCTTTTCAACTGTAGGTGCTCCAGACTTGCTCTCTTGTCACTAACACTAAATGTGCTATTTTCCTTGTTTTTCATCAAACATCTAAAGAGAAACTTCCATACTTTTCTGAAATTCTCTTTTTAATTTCTCAGAAATAGCTAAAAGGGGAAGAAAAAATTCCATGAGAACTATGAAACTATTCATGTTTTTAGCAAGTTGAGGAGGTAATAAACCCTGCCTATAGAAGGTATGTTTTCATGCAAACTATACTTCTGAGCTTATTAGCTTCTAATTATATCTTAATAAGTATATTTTATTACTAGAGCAAAATGGGTTTTTTAAGGAAAATAATGTGAAATTCTGGAAATTTTGGGCAGAGAAGAGCATTAGCCCTGTCTTATCATCACATTGCCATCCTGTTGCACTGTAGCTTGTATATAGCATGCTAAAATAAATTTTTTTGTGTGTGTGTGCAGAAACTAAGGGTCCAATTTAAGATTGGGTGATGTGTTAGTGGCATAAAAACAAGTTCTCTGGCCTGACATAGCATCACATCTCACACACACACATACACACACACACACACACAGAAATGAGTATATCCATGTGTGTCAAATACAGGTTAAAATAACAGGGCATTTGATATAGAGGAGTGTAGTCTTCTAATAAAAGTAGTCTGGAATCCCTGGGGTATTTGGGGGGAAAATAACTACTTTTGCTCAACCCTTTTGCTTAAGAAATGTCCAGTTTTGAGCGACTGTAGTATGGATGAGTTTTTTTGTTTTGTTGGTTATATGAGGCTTTTAACAAGTAGTTTGTGAAAGAAGCTGTTGGATTCAACATAGAATAGAGAAAATATCTTTATAGTTTGAATTTCTGCCCTGCTTAGATTTTAAAAGTATAAGCATGGATTGCCAATTCCACTTGATGTAAACAACTTTTTATACATAATATATAATAAAATAACTTATTGTATCAGTCCAGGTTCAGAAACTTGTGGTAGGCCAGTTCCAGATAGTTTCATTTCACCTGTAAACTGTATCACTTTTACTGATATTGTAATTTTCAAATGTATAATATGTTTACAGATGTGCCCTGCATTTAGTCTGCCTTGTTCCTATTTTGATTTTTGTTGAGTCTCCTGCCTGCTTGCCAAAAGCTAGGATGCTTCAGGCCCATGTACAATTGAAAGCAGAGGCATCCTTGAGCTTTAAAGCATTGAACAAACTGGAAAATGCAACATACCACATAACGGAAGTGAAAGAAGTCTGTGCTTTTGTGTTTTTTTTTTTAAATAAAAATTTTCAAAAAGTTTTAAAAAAAGATATATAAGGTTGATTAAAAGTATAAAAAGGCTCCAGTTTGTTTTATAGGTTTTAAAGTTCTGCTGTGTGTTCAATTGCCTTGTGTAACCACTTGTCGCCTTAGGGCCAGATCCCCTACGCACCCCACCTTGTTCCCCCCTCCTTTTTTTCAATGTCCATTTAGTTTGCCTGAAACTTAAAAGCTCTTCTGTCTCACAACTCACAAGAAACTTTCTGGGTTTGTGACACATAGAGGTTGAACGAATATGTATTTAAAAAGGGAGGGGGAAAAAACCAGCCCCCATCTGAATTGGGCTTCTTAATTTAGAAGCAACACTTTAAAAATATCTTCTAAGAAGCTGTTACTGGCTTTCCTTTTTCCCTTCCATATCCCTCAGGCCTCCATGTTGAGAGAAGCCAAAAACAGAATGTATTCCTTCTCTGTTTGTCCAAAGGTCTTTTGAGAGTCTCACTTCTAAATGGAACAATGCAACATTTCACTTTTATTTCTCCACTGAAATGTCCTTGATTGTATGGTTAGAGGTATATAGTTAGGAATGTCTCAACCTTCTGGGAACCCTAGTGCCCCATCATATTAACTGTCAGTATTCTTTGGGCATTGGGTTAATGGACTTAATTGCCTAGGTACAAGCAGGACTTTGGGACAAATCTCCTTTGTGCTGTTTGGTAACACTTAACTCTACTTGTTGAAGTCTTTCTCCTTAGGTCCTCACACAATTCCTTATAGAGCACTTATTAAAAAAAATCTTAAGAGTTAATCTGTTTTCTGATTATTTTTGTGTAGACTTCTAAACAAACTTCAGCTGTGATTGATTTAGCACATTTAAATTGACTATGTGTTACTGTTGCGTATAAAGAGTTTTCCTTCAACTCAGAGTATTAGTACTGTAGCATAAACCAAATACAGTCTAGAGGGGATTTTTAACATCCCTCCATTATAAGGACTGAAAAAGGTGTGTGTTGTGTGTGTGTATTTGTTGAGGGTGTGTGTGAGGAAAAGAGGGAGAAAATAAAAATTAGTAAGTGAATGTGTAAAACATTAGTATTCAGAGAATGAACTTGTATTTATTTTGTGCCATTTGTTTTCATTACACAATAAAGTCAGGTGGTTTTAATCCTTAAAAGGGTAGTATTTGAAAAATGGCACTAAGAATGAAATCATGACCTATATTTTTAATAGCTATGAAGATACTAATTATGGGTGAAGATTTCTTTTTAAGTGTGTCTTGATTGTAGGCTTCTGTGTCACATACCACTCTTACAGATGTCTTGAATAATTTCCCTTCCCCACAAAAGACAGGGTGTAATCTTTCTCTTTGTTCACCCCTACTTTGCTGGACTGAAGTTAATTGCATAGCCTTTCCTCTGACCTTAGTAAAGAACTTTCACATAAAGTATTTACAGTATCTGTAGTTGGCCCTTCCTCCTCTACCTTCTAGGAGGAGATAGACAACTAGGAATTTGTTAACAATTTGTTTTTTCTTGACATAAATGGCTGGAGAGGTCTCCCATTTTGAAATTTTGCCATTCTCCTTAATCATCTGCTTGCCTAGTAATCACTCAGAATCTAAAAAACTATAAAGGAAAAAAAAGTGCAGCATTGTTTTTCCACATAGTTTTTAGGGAAAATATGATGAACCTGTTATGAGTGTTGTCCACAATACAAAATGTTTTCTTACCAAACATTACATAGCAGCTGTTGTTTCATACTTGGTTGGTAGGCTTGTCGCTAACTCAAACAGAAGCATCTAATGGTTTGTCTTTTCTGTCAACTTTTTTAAACACGTAAAAGCCATTTAGTGTAAAGTGGTCATGTACCAAATGGCCACAAGCAAGGAAATCTGGATTTTAAATTCCACTAGTCATTCAAGACTTTAAGATAAATAGATTTAAAGTGTCGCTTCCAAGGATGAGTATAATTATGCCACTGGGCCGGGTCTTCAACACATGATTCCTATATACCTATGCTGACTGCAAAACATACTGTAGTGGGACAGACAAATATGCACAGTAGTTATGATCGGGTCTGTTGGTGCTGCATAGTTGAGGTAGATTCTGAATAGGCAGTGTCTTATCCTACTCATAACTGCTTGATTTTAAAAGGGTGGGATTTGTTCATTTTTTTCCTCCTGAAGTATTGGTGTTTGTTTAAAGGGGAGGGGCAGAGGAGAGAAAAAGACTAGAATTAACAATAGCTGCTCTTAAGTTTGCAGAGATGCTTAGGTTATTGTTCTTGGTACTGATAATATTTTTATTGTGATTCATCGACAGAGCACCAGGATTCTTTTATGGTGAGGATGGGCTTCTGCTTTCAGTATCTTAAAATGTTTTTTTTTATGTATACTTAAATCTGTTCAGATGTCTAAGGACCACCCTGGGTTGGTTTAAAGAATGATGAATCATTGGCTCACTCAAAAGCACTCTTTTTGGAGTTTCAAGTTATGTTTCACACCGTTTTGCTACTCAAGAAGGGTTTTATGAATAAATAGTTTTAAGTTGTCTGCATAATGGAACCATGAATGGTATGTTGCTTTTGCGTTACTGGGAGTGTCAAATAGCAGTTAAAGGCTAGGAACCTATTGAACAGCCATCCTTACTTGGGATTGCTGATTCAGACTTCCCTATTCATAAAATTTTCTTCATGTCCAGAGTTCTAAAGCCATTTTGTAATACTGCAGTATCCCTTTTCTTACAGCCTTATTAAAATAGCTACAAACATTTTTCAGTGCAGTGTCCCTTTTCTACAGCCTTATTAAAAGTAGCAGCATTTATTTTCCAGTTCAGTTTCACTTATATTGTATATCAAAGTTCTACCCTACAGACCAACAAACCAACGTGAGGTACATCACACAGCTTTCCATAGACCCTTTTATCCTCAGGTGCTAAGTAAACAAAGGCTCCAAAAATGGATACTGCTTTAGTAATGTCTGCTTTATTAAAACTTATTTTGCTAGATGTAAAGATTTGGTGTTCACAGAAATGGTTTTAATATGTAAATATGAATGCCTTTAGTTTCCCCATTTGTCTAATACTAGTCTGTTTCATTTATCCTCTAGAGGAGGCTCCCTTCATGATTGTGAATACATTTCATTAGGTATTGTTGCATTTTTAGAGTAAAAATACAATTGTTTTCTGTCTTGGATTAATCCTGCTGCTGCTATGAGAAACTGAAAATCAAGAATGTGATGCACTTTTTTCATTACTATATACCATACCCTTATAGATGGTTTGATACCTTTCCTGTAGCACAGCCACTAACAAAAGTGAATGAATCTTAAAATTGTCTTTGGGAGGGAATCATTACAAATGGTATTGGCCTATGAAGGACAATAATCTAGGAAAATAATTCTGTTACACTTTTTGGCCTTAAAATGTCTTCTACTACTGAAAATCTTTTAAATCTTAATTTTGTTTTTATTCCCTCTCTGCCTCAAAAAGAGGAGCTGGGAAAAATGGTTAAAGGATGTATCATTGATTTGTTTCTGATCTGTCTTTTAGGAAGAAAACAATTGTCTACTATATAAGCTGGGGATTTATTTTTTGTTTGTATAGAGAAGAAATGCCCTGAGCAAGTCAGCTTTCATTTAATCAAGTCAAAGTCCCAACTATTCTGCTTCTCTAGTATGTTTATACTTAGCAAAGATAAACTTCAGTAGGAATGATACTTAACAAGAGGAAAATTCGTATCTCAAGAACATAGCCAAACTTGAAGGAGTTTGAACCCAAAATAATGGAGGGAAAAAAATCACCAAATGGGGTGGAGGAATATGAGATAGATGTGGTCCAAAGTTAACCTGGTTATTATATTTTGATGTTGCCATATTGCAAAGCCAAATTTTTAATTTGCTTATTTGCTATATTTGTTGGCCAGAGATCTATTTTTATATCAATGTGCCTTGCATGTATACTTAAAAAAAAAATTGGAAAGGCCATGTAATAATGCCTGAGATAGTTGATGGTTCTTACCACCTCACTAATTTTTATGCAGTATATGAAATGCTCATTCTATCGCCCAACTGGTGCTCTCTGTTTAAAGTTACAGATCTTGTCACAAACTGGAACTATTTTATAAACTGGGGGAGTGATTTAATTTACTATTTTGTTGTTTTGGGGGGTTTTTTTTGTTTTGGGTTTTTGTTTTTTTGTTAAGTCTGTTAGTGGCTGTTCTGTAGTGGGAAATAGTAAAGGATTCTTCCCTATCCTTCCCTTCCCCCCTCAGCACCTTCAAGTAATGTGATGACACCATTTTTTGTGTGCTTTGAAAAAATTTCAGCTTGCTGTCTCCTTTAGTGTTCCAAAAAAGTGTTATGAAAAGCATTTTTTCAAAATCTAGGGAGATAATGTCTAAAAATGACAACTAAATTAAGATTATGACATTGATAATATTTTTTCAAAGGGTCAAGTGTACAAATAATATAAATCTTAAATGTGCTGTAGTTTTATGTCATGGCTTTTAAGAAAAAAATCATACAGGTTATTAAGGTGCTTCAATTTGGAATTCTGTTTGAGCTGTGATCCAAGTTACTGGCTCTTTCCAACTTTAAAATTTTTTATTGTTAGAGCACCTTGCTTAGAAAAATTTAAATATGTCTGCAACAATTGTCTCAAAGTAATGAACTGTGCAATTCTTGTCATTAAAAAAAAAAATCTGAACTCTCCCTAATGTGACTTGTTAGTTTCTCTGTATTTCCTGCCAGTGTAAATGTGAAAAGCTTTGCTTGCATTACGTTTTAGAAATGCATTTTGCACACTCGAATTTTGCCGAGGCTCCATGAGAAGGTTAGATCTAAGTAGATGAATAAAGCTATGCACATGTTTTGAAAGTTTAATTTGTGTGTCATTACCAAAAGTGACTTGTCATTTTGCTGTTCTTAGCTTTACTGTCTTTAGAAACATGGCTGAAAGTTACAGTTCTGGGCTAGCTCCTCTGTGGAACTAGAATAGAGGGAAACAGGCACCTGTTTTAATAAACTTAAGTTTAAATGAGAGCTTGACATATCTTCTAAATAAAGGGCTTTTCTTGAAACAGGACAGCTTTACAAACTGTTGAATGCTCTGACTTCCTCAGTGAAACTGGTTTATTTGATCAAATAGAAATAGGAAGTAATTCAAACTGAGAGGAAGGACCTTTGCCCCATGGAGTTATGTGATAATTTTATGTCTTAAACCTGGTTTAATGGTAGGATAACCTTTTTACCTTTGTTGCTTTAGCATAAATTGGATTTACTGAATGAATGATTGACTTGAAATTAGAATCATTTACTTGTTCAAAAATCAAAGCACAGGTTGTTTTAAAGATAATGTATACCTTTAAAAAATTGCCCAAGCTGTTTAGAATAAGCCTAGAAATTGGGCAAATTTGGTTAATTGCTACAGTCTGCATGTACTAAATAGCTTTACTTGTATGTGTATTTAAAATATTATGTAGATGTCCTGGCCAGGTTTTGTCAAATCACCTTTTAAAAGATTGTTTTGTAATCTCTTCAGGACCTTTGTAGACAAGGCTAATAAGCCTAAGAATAATAATGGCACTTCCCCATGCTTCTAGATAAAAAATACTTCTATTTTATACCTTTTTCCTATGTGTAAAGAGGATTACTTCTCCTTCAAGTATACTCTTGATACGTGTGTTGACTTGCAAAACAACAAACCACATCTTCTGAGAGTGACAGTTAAGAACTAAGTATACTAGTCAAGACTAAATAGGTGGCCCATAATGCATGTCCATAACAGCATAAATGTGGGAGTGTGGCATCATCTTCGATAACTGGCTACTCCTCAGCATCTGTCAGCAGTTGACTTGTGTTCAGTCTTTGAACTTATGGAAAAGCAAAGCAATTCCTGCGTCTTGTGTGCATAAGCATTTAGGAACTGAGTTACCTCTTAATCTGGGGAAAAGGATAATTACCACATTACTATTATGTTCAAGGATGTTTTTTCCTCTCTCTCCCAACTGAAATGTTTTCAGTGTTTGGTTAGCCAGGTCAAAAATATAGGCCTTTTCTAGATAACAGAACAGTGGCCAGGAATTTACCCTGTTGCTAAGTGCATAGGTATTTGCCATAATAACCATTTCTGATGTCATAGATTCTGAGGAAGTGTCAGTTACATGATGATCTTCCTTTATTAAAGATGTCTTCATGTTCAGTGTTTTAAAAATATATATTACAAACACTCTACATCCACACCCAGATTTACTTATTTTATCAGGAAAAAAAATTCAGAAATTTGTAGATCAAATTGAGACAATGAGTGTACATTGTTGAATAAAAAATGTTAAAGTTTCCTAAGTGTTTGTGTTACCATCTTTTGTGTGCTTTAAATTTTTTTAAAATAACAACTAAATTAAGATTATGACATTGATAATCTTTTTTCAAAGGGTCAAGTGTACAAATAATTTAAATCTTAAATGTGCTGTAGTTTTATGTCATGGCTTTTAAGAAAAAAATCACAGGTTATTAAGGTGCTTAGATGTTTATTGAAAAATCGAATGGGAGAGCAGCTATCCTGCCTTTTTGCAAGACATTGATCCTTAGGTTTTTCCAGGTGAAATAGGAAACCAAAATTGAACTACGCAAATAAGCAACTACAGTAAGTTGCCAGGATTTGGGATTTATGTAGGAATATATGGCAATGCATATTTGAGAAACTTCTCAAGTTTGTTTAGCATTTGAGTTGGTCGCAAGGTGAAAAAAGATCGACATTATTAGAGTACAGAATAAGGAAAAAAGATGAAAAAACATTTACTGAAAGTGTCACTTTTAGTCACTATATATAGTCTGATATATTTGGATTACGTGATTTAGTGGCCTTTGAGATAGGTAATTGTCCTTAGCTTGGTAAGTAACTTGCAAGGACACAAAAGGGAATTTGGTTTTTACTGAAACTTGTCTTGAAAAGTTAGGCACTTCAGTGTGATTTATATAAAGCATGGTAGTTAATTCAGTCTACAATTTTTTTTTTAATGACATTTATTGTGGATTTTAGCTAACATTCGTAAGCAAGTCTTGAGCAGAACATAAAACTCATTCTAGGTTGCTTCTTAGCAAGGTCTCATGCTTAAGGTGTTCTCTTGGAGCTTTTAATCCACTACTGTTGAATGCGACGAATTGATTGAATCTGGGAAGTCTGGGCATGAGAACCCCACTCTCTCCAGTGTTTATAGTCTCCTCCATGATGGTCACATTCCAAGATATACTGATACCCACGGTATCCAGGATACTGGTAACAAACCCAGCTAGAAAATCCAAAACATTGGATTATTTAAAACTATTTAGGAACCTGGTCATCATCCCCAAACCTGAGCCTTTCCTCAACACAATCGGTACAGAATGCTTTTAGGCTTAGAAAACAGTAGCCATCCTAAATGTGCCAGGCACGATTTGTGAGCATAATATGGCTAGAACTAGTTGAAAATTAGCCTTGATCATCAGAAAAGGTATGAGTAGTCAACATAAATGCCTCCACACAGGAATAAGGAAAGACCTTATTAAGTGGTAGCTGGTACCAAGAACTTGAGGTTCAAAATTACTGATTACTGAAATGTGACAACTATACCAATATGATGTCCGTGTCTGAAATCTGATATGACCGTTAATGTATTAATATTCACAAGGTTGACACCTGCAAGAGTTACTCTGAAATGTGTGCCAACCCTGTTTTTGCACTTACGCCCCACATGGTATCTTCATGGAACCAACTTCATTGTTGAACCAGCCCATGGCTTGCAAGGAGGGGTAGTCATCACAGATCTCCCATTGGCGTCCGATAAAGTTTCCTTTCTCAAAGATGGTAATCTTAGACTCCTTAAGATTCTGTAATCAAATTTTTTAAGTTAAAAAATTAAAATTATTCAGTACCAGTGTTATGGCTGTCATCTTTACCATATTTTTTAAATTAAAAACACTCGTGGTCTACAGAGGGAAGTACATGGTCATTGAGTAAAAATATTTCAGCCAATGTGGAGATTTGCAAGAAAAACATTACTCATAATCCTGCTTAATCCAATTTAATACCATAACATTGAAAATGTGCTAATAACTGATAGAGTACTTTAGATAACTACAAACCAATAAAGAAAATAAAATGGAGCAACAAAAAAAACAGCCAACCAAGGGATTAATATGCACTAATGTGGAACAAGTTCCCACAAATTAATAGGAAAAGTAATTAACCCGTGTGTGTATGGTGTTAGAAATAAACTAAAATCTAGTAGGGGATATGAATGCTACACAATAATAAGGCAGAGGCTAACCCGTATGAAGTACAAAAACAGGCAAAATGTCCTGGTGGTAGGAAGTGGGGGAGGAGCAATTGATTGTTTATAGGGTGATAGAATTGTTCCATATCTGAATAGGGTGTTGGTTACTTGGGTGTACATATTTTTCAAAACTCATGAGAATATACACTTGGAATCTATGCATTTCACTATGTGTAAATTAAACTTTATAGGGGAAAGCACCCAGATAGAGCAGTACTTTTTAGATCTAGAGCTGTTTATGTTGCCTTCTTTACTACTTCAGTTTTTGGTAGGAATTTAAGATCATTAACAACTAAAATGAGATCACATGCTAAGAGAGAATATTTGCAAAGGTTCTAGCCTAGCCTCTCCCAACAGAGGGATCATTTTCAGCACAGCCCTAAAGGTTATCATGTTTCTGCTTGAATTCTCCAAAGACTATAAAAGCATCCCAGTCCTGATGTGTAATTGAATAATGCTTAGTGTTAGAAACAAGAGAATTATGAATCAAAGGTAAGACCCTGGAAGACGTGTATTTCTTCAGTCATCCCACTTATTGAAGGGTTACTTCAGCATTTTGCTGTTCCTAGATAAAATGTTACACAAGTTGAAATTTAACTGGCCAAGGATTTACTTTGTACTACATGGTGAGTGTTCTCACGAGTTACCCTTTTGCACTTTCGAAGATCTGAGTTATTGAGTGTCCACTTCCTGCCACCCTTACTTTAGCTTAATGAAAGTACCATCTAATACAGAAAAATAGAAACAGAGCAGTGTTTTCTTTGCCCCTTTTCTTTCATCCTTTCTGCCACATTTCAGCATACCTGAAGAGAAGTAAACTAAGTGTCAGTCCATAACTATCCTCTCTTGCCCCATTCCCCACAAGCACAGAAGTGAAAATTTCAGAGACTCACAGCTGAACAAATGGGGCGGAAGGACATGAGGCGCTCAATGTGGTAAGCATTACTCCCGCTCCAGGCGTCCCAGCGAGGGTATTCTCCTCTCTCCAGGATAAATTGTTGCCCACAGAAGCTGGTATGCTCATAACCAATCCAGCTGTCAAAGACAAGTAGTGGTGTTTGTTCCTGGTGTTCAGATCCTACATGGCCTCATGGAGAAGGCATCTTTTTTGCTGAATGTTCATGGTAGGGTAAAATATCAAGCCAATTCTGATACAGGCATACAAAGCAATACATTCATCACAAGAGGTGGGGAATGAGTTGGCAGTGGCACTAAACGTAGGTTTGTAAATGGGTATTTGTTTTGGGGTTAATCCACTGAAAGGGTCTACTTCCCTGGCTTTGGTAAAGTGTATGAGCAAAGTCATTCTAAAGTTATATTTCCTGTCTCGCCAAAATACCTTATCCTCTACTTGGAGCTCCAGATTCGGGATCTAGGGACTGACTATTGTTTTGGCTGCAGCCAAACCTATTGGCTTCTTCCAAAGGATGGATTACTCGTCTCATTTCCTTGTCACTTTGAGGGTTCTTTTACCTGCTATCGCATATATATACCTTATTTATTAAAACACCTCAGGTCAATTTTTTATAACCAGGTGTCAGGTACTCACGACACCTCAAAATATTCAACTTTTATTTAAAAGGATTGAGAAGCTCAATTCTGGTGGCGAGCAACTGGTGGAAGCCTGTCTACACACAAAGCCAGTTCTGCCTATGCCAACACAGAGTCCTTTCCTTATGTATTTTCAGACTGATGATAAAGGCCTTGGCTACCCTGCCAAGAGTCAGAATACAAAACAAGAGAGGAAGATCTCAACTGCCAAAGAGATTAACCATCAACAAGAAACTCCTGGAGACTAGGAACTAATGTGGCTCTTCTAGGGTTGAGTTCCTTTTCACACAGAGAAATAAGCTAGGAGTGTCTGTTCTGGAACATGCAGGAGTTAGCTGTAAAGAGGCTGCAGCTTGACAGTTTCTCTTTTCTGTAAGCAAGAAAAGTCAAGGATCCTATGGTGGTTCTGAAGGAATCCAAGCTAGCAGCCTATGGACTTCAGAAGCACAGATTGGACCACTGTCACTGCCCCGCCCCACAGTACTCATTTCTTTAATTGTCCACCAAATCTTGTAGCAAACCACTAAGAACTTCATGTTCCTTCTAGTTTTGAGTTATTAAATTACACATGTAGTGATTTTGTTTGAGATTACTTCAGTAATGAGGCCTTTCCCCCAGAAATGCCTAGAATCTGGGAGAACATTTTTCTTCCCTGATGCCCACCTTTATGGTCCTATGTTTAAAGGGACCAGAATTAAGGGGCTGACAGTTCTGCTGAGGTCTATACTCACGCTCCACATTCCACCCTGAGAGACCGGATGTTATCAAAACTGCGCTCAGAGACGTTTGGGCAGGAGCTGGTGAACTCCATCCTCTTGCCCTGGAAGTTCTCCTGGTCATAGATGGTTATCTGAAATGGGGTTGAATGGGAGAACAGAATTAGAACATGGTATACATTAGGAAGAACAGAGGCCCAGGTCAACAGCTTGTATCTGACTTTGTGTTTTCTGTCATTAGCTGTAGCACGAGGTGCCTGATGAGGTCTCTTTCAGTGTAAACAGGGTAGGAAGGGTTTGAACTAATAACATGCCTGGGCTAGGGATGAGGTGTGGGGGATGGGTATAGGATAGGAATGGTCTGCCAGGGACAATAGCTGAAGTAAACAAATCAGGACCCTCATTCCACTTTGCTCCCTGCCTAAGTGTGGCCAAGAGGCTCCCTGTGGATTATTTCTTAGCTTATCTGGCCATACCTGCTACAGGAACCCAAGGTAAAAAGGGAGAGTTGTGATTAAACACTTTCATACCTTGAACTAGAACTTGGCTCTTAACCTGGCTAGAGGGCAATTCCCAAAGCTGTAATCTGGCTTCAGAGTTGCAGTAAAGAGAGTATGGGCATGGGGAGAACGGTGAAAAGTCCAGGGATCAGCCATTTCAGTCAATGGGTACAACCAGCCTTAGGTTGGGAGTCAGGAGACCTGGGTCCTAACGCTTATTTAGGGTCTGGGGGAAATCTCTCTTCATTTCTGGGGCCTTGGTTTCCACATGGCATAATCCCTCTGGGCTGCTCTGTTTCCTGATGAGTTTAGCAGTGTGCAGGAGTGTTGCAACAGAAAACTAGGTATCATCTCCCACCCAACATGGGCTTCCAGGGCTTCTGTCCAAACAGGGCTTCCTGAGAGGTCTGCCCTGAGGCAGCACCTGGACACCCCTACGGATGGGTATTTGGTCACTGTTCTGTGGACAAGCACGGCCCTGGTGCCTGCTCTGTGGTGGCACCTCACCCCTGCCTGTTGGATTCCTCGATTTCCCATGTGGTGGGAGTAGGCTTACCTTCCATGGCCCCACGGACCCCGGCATGGGGTTGGTTTGAGCCATCTTGGTGGGTGGAAGGGTTTCTGAAAGACAGAACACACCAATGACATGGCCTCCACAGTGGGGGATGTGGTGACAGAGCACAGGGAAAGTAAAGGAGGCTCAAAGTCCAATAAACTGTGGTTGGGATCCTGGCTCTGCCCACACTAGCTGATCTGTGTTCCTGTTGAAATACCCTGGGTGAACATCTCAGTGACAGGGCCTGGTTCTCCTGAGCAAATGAGGTAGCGCCATACCAAGCCCATTGTGGGGCACTGGGGATTGGGATGGAGGGCAGGCAGCATTGAAAAAGACTTACTTAAGGAAAATGAGGAAGAAAAGAGGATGGTGATGGCTAACATTAACAATGGCTCACTCTGTGCCAGGCTTTGTTCTGAATGCTTCACATGCATTATTAATATGTTCAGTCTTTACAACAAGCCTATGAAGTAAGTACTGTTATTATTCCCCTTTTACAGATGAGGATATGGAGGCTCAGAGGTTAGGTAGAGAGAAGAGATGGTAGGAAGAGTAAAAGAACAAAGGAAAGGAGGGAGGGATGGAAGAAAAAATCCTGTTGTGTATGAGGTTTCTTGACTCAGAGCAGCCATTCACGGCCTTCCCTCTGGCAATATTGGGCCCAGGGACGGGTACAATGTACACTTGTGATACATCTTTCCATTCTGAACCTCTGGATATGCATTTCCCAGCTCCTGCCCCTTTCCTTCTGCCTATGCCCAGGAGCCTGCTCATTTCTTGGGCCCCCATGCCCCTTCCCGGCCTTGACTGCTAGGACACTATCTGTTGCCATATAAATGACTCTTGGGGTAGCAAGACAAGGCCACCTCCCCCCAGAGCTCCCCATTCTTCTCCAGCCATCTGAGGAGGCTCTGGCCATAATGCAGGAAACCGGGCCCCCTCCTGGACATGTCTCTGCAGGAGGAGGAGAGGGAGGGCACGCGCTGGCCTTACCCAGCTCCTGCTGCACAGTCTGGGTCTCCATCTGGTGCCATCACCTCTGTGGCCCTGCTCTTTATAACCCTGGGGCTGATGGCCTCTGGCCCTGTCAGCACTCTGCTGTCCTTCTGCTTTTGTTCCCCCTGATCCCCATAGCTTTGATGGCTCAGACTGCTGGGCAGGCATCCCTCAGGCCTTTGTTTAGACCAGGGATACAGAAATCCAGAGAGGCCCTGCTGCTGTGGGCTTGATCTCAGTAGCTACCGCCTCTGGGAGCAACTGGGAGGTGAGGGCAGGTCTCTGCATGAGTGCTTGTCCCCTTTCCTTCTCCAGGTCCCTCACGCCATCCCCAGGGCCTTCCTGAGACCTCTTGTGATATTGAGCACATTAAACACACCTCACTTCCCAGGTGGGATACACATTTCTTTGTTGTTAAAAAATATGAAAGGATTATTACAGTTCTGAACTTTATTATCAGTCACAAAAAACATTCACTGTGACCACAGGAATCTTTATTATACTGTATTTATATATAAATATGTAAGAGTTGAATTTGATTATGGTTGACTAAGACATAAATCTCTGTAACTTATTAAATATTTACTCATTTTACTTTTGAAGTTTAAAAAAAATTTGGTGCAATAAATCTTTTTGGGTTTTTAATATATTGATTTAGGCCCCTGGACATCTCACAGGCCCAAGGTCCTAAGCCTAGACTTTCCTAAAGGGTAAAGTGATTTATCCCTAGAAGTTCCGGGCAATTGGTGAGAGTAGTGTTGGGGAATTGTAGACATCCCCAGGAGCCCTGAAGCAGAGGATGTGTTGCTTAAGCTACTGTGAGAAGTGGGGTGCAGTGGGCAGGGAAGTCTTTGAGCAGGCAAATGTGGGTTCAAATCCTGGCTCCCCTGGCAAGGTGACTTTGGGCAAGTCACTCAGCCTCTCTCAGTTCCCCAAAAGGTGATAATATCCAACTGACAAATTGCAGGTTTATTATTACTTATTACCCAGCTCTCTATCTGGTGGAAGATACTGTAGAAAATCTCATAGCAACTTGGAGAGAGGGAGAAACTTGTCCCAGGAAAGCTCTTCTGATCCTCCTGCCAATCTCTCCAGCCTGTGAACTCGTTTGTTCGGAGTCCCCTTTCCTCAAAACCCAAAATCAAGGAGTGAGCTTGGGTACGTACATGTATTTACAGGTTTGGGCAGAAATTTCAGATGTACAGGTCTGACACTAAGCATGATGCGCCACCCCAGGATGCTTCTGCTGCTTGATTAACTGGTGATGCCTGGATCAATAGCTGGCAAGAGACAGAGTTGCCTGGATCATGGCAGGCTCTGGCCGGTTGATGGCTGTACAAGGGCTTAAGGCTCCAGCTGTCCATGGCAGGTGGTTCTTCTTCACCTTTCCTTCTCTCCCTCTACAGAATTGGGATCTCAGAAAAACACTTATTTTGTCACTTGTTCATTCATTCATTCCCTAACCCCTGGACTGGTTCAAGTACCCCCACAGTGTGCATTCATGGCACCCTGGACTTCTCAAACTATTGCATTAATCATGCTGTAGAAATTACTTTAGAAACTAGAAATACTGGGCTCCAAGGAGGGGAACTGTAGAGGACATTTGGGGCTCAAATAGAGGACAAAACTTTTCACAGTATACTTTCCTGTACTTTTTGAGTTTTGAACAATGAATGATATGATATTTTCTATCAAAACAAGTAAGGTTTGGAAATAAAGAAACTGCTTAATTATGTGCTTCTTCCACTAGACTTCATACTCTGAGGGTAGGGGCTTCATCTATCTTGTTCTTTGCTATATCTTTAGCTCTGGGTGTAACTTCTAACTCAATATGCTTTGAATGCATGAATGAATGAATGACATCCTAGGAGGGGTTTCTGTAACTCTGAGGACACAGAGGTAACTGTAATACAGTCCTTACTCACCTTTGCCCCAACTGACCAGCATGTATTGTCTGTGTCCTTCATATAATCTCACATCTCAATTTGGGAGCTTTAAACTCTCCTTAAGTATTAGTACAATGAAGACTAAATGAGCCAATTTTCTATTTTTGCGAACAAGTAGGGCTTTTATGTTTGGCTGAAAAGCCCAACACACATGCACAAAACTATTGTGGGGGGGAATCAGGGTTATTGTGCAAAAAATTTACAAATACCCACCCAATATTTCTGGGGTCAAAAGCAGCCCTAGCCTGTCCTCTCTCTTCCTTCCCTCAAATACCTTAAGTCCATGACTCCAGCACTAATCATCAGGATTTCCACATACCTCAGTATGGTTTGTAACCAAGTTCTAGAGACTGTCTGGAACTGTTGCTTCACCTGCACCACGAGGGTTGAGGCTTTGGGGCTCCAGCTCCCCCCACCATCTCTCTCCAGGAAAGTCAGGGCAGAGCCACTTAGGAGTGGGAATGAGGGAGCAACCAGCTGGTAATTCCTTCTTCCCAGCCAGGTTTGGGTCTCTCCTGTCCATACTAACAGCAACTACAGCTTACTGAGCATTGACTGTGAACCAGACAGTTCACAGTCTGGTGACATGAAGCAGACACAGCTGTTCCTCACAACTATTCCATAAAGTAGATCATTATAATACCCATTTGAAAGATGAGCTAACTGAAAATCTGAGGGGTCAAGTACTGGGCCAGGGAAACCAGCAGGAACTTAAATGCATGTCTATCTACTCCAAAGCCAATAGTGTTTTCCCTGGGCAACCTGACCCTCCAGCATAAAGCAAGATGACAATACCTACCTGACTTTCTGCTGTCAGGTGAAGAGAAAATGATGGTGTTCAGGGCAGTGTTAGGTACTCAGAGCTCAATAAATGGTAACTACATTATTGATTGTTACAAATCAGATACCATCTTGTGCCAGATTCTCAGAGAGACAAGTGGGAGTAAGCAGCAAAGATTTTAGAAAAGCTATAAGATTAAAAAAAAATGTTTTCTTTGAATTTGGAAAAGACTGCATTCATTCAGCTTTCCTTTTTTTCCAAGATTTTTTGTAATTCATTTTAGCAGTGCATTCTGTCAGCCTAATTTTCTGAAGGGCAGTGATCTATTGGAGACCTGGATTGTAAACTATGTTCTTAGTACACATACCCATTGCATGATCAGGTGGGACAACTGGCTGTCTAGTGGGATGGGCTATAATATTTGGAAGTGATGAGTGACACTAAGGGGAATGAGACTCCCCCAGTGTAACATGGTCTGTTTGAACCTTGGGCTCCTTGACACTAGGGCTGCAAGCCAAGCATCATAGATGCATAGATTTTTAAGGATGACTTGGATCCCCAGGCCTTGCCTCTGGGCCTAGGGAGCCTCACAGGATCAGGCCCAGTGCAGAAGGGGTGAGGTTATGGGGCCAGGGCAGCCCCTGGACTCAGCACTTTGTGGCAAGAGCACAATGGGACTGACCAGGCGGCTGAGCAGCACTTCTGTTGTTTGGGAATAAGCAGGATGGGTACAAAGCAAAGAGCCCAGTCAGCATTCAGCCAGCCCCTACCTCCCAATAAAGGGCTGCTTCTGGGGGATCTTTTTGCCCTATCCCTTGCTACCCCTTTAAGCAAGCAGGATAGCCAAGGCCTGGCTGGGCCCAAGAAAGTGCAAGTGCTGAAAGGGAACTTGGGAGGCATTTCTGAGCCCTTACAGTGGGCATCCTTACTGTTCCCAGGCATAAATGGGGCCCACCTGCTCGGGAGCGCTGTTGTTCTAAGAGTCCAGGCTCCCTAACCTGCTTCCTCTATATGGCACTAGCTGGTGGGCATTTCACTTCACTTCAGTCTGACCGAAGCTCCCCATAATGCAGCTTAAATCATTTCCTCTCAATTGGAACCCTTTGAAACTGTTGGCAAAACAGATCTGAGGATGGGACTTCTCCCACTGGGTGACACTCAGCCCACTCTGTCCACTCACTACAGCCGAGCATCCGGCTCTGTGTCTCACTTCAGGTGGCCGGATTGAGCAAATCAAAACACAAGACACTCCATTAAATTTGAATGCCAGGTAAACAATGACTATTTTGTAGGATAAATAGGTGCCAAATATTTTTTATGTTAAAAACCTATTTTTTGTTTGCCTGAAGTTCAAATCTAACTGGACATCCTGCATTTTACCTGCCAAACCCAGTCTCCTTCTACCTTTGTAGGGAGCACACTGTGATGCCTCTCTGTCAATCTGCTCCTCATCTGTCATCTGGAAAAGACAGAATAAAAAACCACCGCCCAGAAAGCCTTTGGTTTCTGGTATCTACCACTTTAATGTCTCAGCCAAAATTCCCTTGTTGATTTCCTATCTTGGCAAATAGGATTTTAGTCTTCCCCCTCTCCACACTCCTAGGGATATACTGAAAATTTTGATTAAATCCATATTCAGTGCATCTGTCTCTATGACTTTGTAAACATTGTTTATTACTGGACCTAGTTTTGCATGATGACATTTTCTTTTTGAACCATGATTTGCTTTTCCTGCACTTAAAAATTGCCTTTTTTTCATAGGTTCAGTTTTCCATTACCTTCATTAAATACCTCTTACTTAATACAATATTTTACACACTGAATAGATCTCAGATCATCTCTCTCTTCCCTCTGGAAGCCTCTGGTCTTCTGCTCCAGTCTGAAGAGGAGTCTCTCTATGCCTCTTCACAGGTGTTGCCCAGAGACTTGTCTCGGCTAACGTCCTGGGAATTCTGTGCTCCAGGATCGAATCCCATGTCTTTCTCTTACATAGTTTACCTCCTTCATCTGGTAAAGCACAGTCTCTAAGTGTCCTGCAAAATGGTGCATGGAGATAAATGTTTTAAGATCAAAATGTCTAAAAGCATCCATTATTTTGGTCTTCTATGTGCAATATTGCTGTTGAGAAGTGTGATGCCATTTTGATTCCTGATCCTTTTTATGAAAATTCTTATTTTCCTTCTAGTAGCTTTTAGAATCTTTTATAAAAAATCCCCAGTGATCTGAATTTGCCTTGGTGAAAAATTTTTTTCCCTCATCTTTCTGGATAGACTCTTCCAAATTTCAGGAAAGGTATGCCCTTCAATTCTTGGAAATGTTCCTGTATTATTTCTTTAATCA